TAGTAAGGAGAATGCACGATTTGATGTTTTTGTCATATTATTATTACTCTAGTTTTAATCAAGGAATTTCTCGCCCCTCTGTAGGCTCGAAGGAAGTCTACAACACCACAGCCTTCCAAGCCCCGCCTTTTGCTCTACTCGCGTAGTATTTCTGATAAGGATGACTCAGAGCAGGATTCAGACTGGAAGGTCATTGCCTATTCTCATGTTTCCGGTGAGTTGAGTTTTCCAGCACATGTTTATTAGTATACTGCAAAATAGGTTAAACATATTCATCTTATTGATGCTATTCATGATGTTCTTCACTTTATTGAAGGGGCTTTTGACTGACATATTTGTTTTGACTCTAATCAACAGAAACTTCATGGCTGGCCATAGTGACACTGAAAGGCTCAGTTGCTGTTCTGTCTGTGCAACAGAAAATGGGAAGTTCATCACCAACAAACACTCCCATGACATCCCGCCCAGCTTCCATGGAGAAAGTAGACTACTATACAGTTATTCCTCACATGTCTTCACCAAAGTGTGCCTCTGGAACGGGTAACCTTAATGGGCGACTCTTGGTATGTGGCGGCTATGATCGCGGAGAGTGTCTTCGAGCGGTTGAGGCTTACAACCCACAGAACAACACTTGGACAGCACAACCTTACATGCGCCAGGGAAGAGGACGGTTTGACCTGACAGTTCTGAATGGGAAGGCCTATGCAATTGGAGGCTGTGATGGTACACGAGAGCTTAATAACGTTGAGGTTCTTGAGGAACATTCTACAAAATGGACCAGCGTTGCTCCTCTGCCTCTGGCTCGCTCCAACACTGGTGAGGCAACTGGATTTTTAGCAGTGTGTTCAACTCATAACTTTTCTGATATTTTGCAGGCGAACCTGAAAATGGCCTCCTGGAAACATATGGAGTTGCACAAATAGCAACAGCATTTTCATTACAATGCGAGTAGTATTATGAAGGCAAGTAGCAGTATCACTACCCATATGTAAGATTAGTACATCATTAACCTCCTGAAGCTCAGAGGCTTTCTCAACTAGGCACACGTGAGTAACATTGTTGGACATTAATGGACATTTCCCTCTCTTTCCAACAGGGAAGTCATCTAGCATGGAGTACCAACTTGCTAAATGCAGGAAAGAAAGGGGCACAAAACAATTTTGTGTTCTGGCTATGATCATCTGTCATTTGACCAAACTACAGGCTGACTCACAAGCCACTTTTGCAGATGTTCATATGCCTGTTTCTTGACCTGACCTTTGGAAGCAAGTTCAATGGTACTGCTGCTAGAAAAGCGGAATTCATCTCAACCACATGGAGAGTAATCTTTTTTGCTCATTGTTATGCATCTTCGGTAAGTAATTAAAAGATCCAGTTACAGTTTTCCTCACAAAGCACTTTTACAGGAAGGTTAATGCCTAATCTTGCTAATGCTCACATATTTCATGAAATTCCAATATGTTTTCCAGATGGGAGGCATATACTGTGAAGCACTCACACCTGGATGTCTGGGAGCCAAGACAGAAGGAGTCAGTTCCTTTTTCTGTAGACCCCTTTTTTATCATAGTCATGTTTGTCAAAGGTTTTGATTCGTTACCATAGAGGCCAAATGAAAATATTAGCCCATATAGAGACTATTTAGGAGATTATAAATGGCAAACAAAGATTTTTTAAATAATAAGGGCTTACTTTCATTGGCATTTATGGAAGTAGCAAAACTTTTGATAGTTCCTGCTCTCTGAAAACCTCTGCCTAGGATCCATTCTAATAGTGGCTCTTTTGCATGTTTAGCAGACTTGAAAGCATGTGCAAGAGTTTTGTGTGATTTTATTAATCAGTCGATGGAATCTGTCAGACATTTTTTTCTATAGGAATTATTACTGGAAAATGATCATGCTTGTTATCAGAATGGATCCTGTAGGATGTTACCCAATGAAGTTTCTGAGATTTTATTTTTATTACTAAAATTTATCTAAATAACTAAGTGCATCTTGCTCACTTTTGGACAATCAAAAAGAGCCTGGGATTATTACTTTGTTTTGCATATATTCTTACATCTATTAAATTACTTCTGAATCAAATTATGGACATGAGTAGCATGCAGGATTGATATACTTGTCAAATCATATATTTAAGCAGATATAAATATATATATGTAAAAGTATAACTTTTGGTATGTTACATATTTGTCAAATTCCACTTAATTGGTGTATGTAAATTGAATTTATCTTTGCTTACATGTAAATATATAAATGAAGTTTATCAGATTACAAGTTGTTATGCATTTTTGAAGTACTTTATAGTCCCATGCTCTTTGGAAGTGCATAGATATCAATATTTAGATCTCAGAAACTTACAGAATTGCTTCCTGGCCCATTACATTCATTGTACCACACGAAAATGGTTCTTTGTGAGAAACGTGAAACTATTCATCATTTAACCATAGCGCTTCTGTTTCCTCTATAGGTGTCTGCAGTGTGGACGGCAAAGTGTACTGCATAGGAGGGTGGAATGGCCAGTATGGGATTAAGCAGTGTGATATGTATGACCCTGCAGCTGACAAGTGGCAGACAATTGCTTCTCTTCATATTGGTTAGTAATACTCTACATTCAAAAGAAAGACAGTTAACTGGTGCTATAATGCCAAGTGATAAGGTTTATACATCAAATATCTATTTCTTTTTATCAATGTATTATTTTTGCTCAACTCTTTAGATATTAAAGCTATTTTTATTTTTTATTCCCAGGTCGTTACCAAGCCGGAGTGGCTTCCCTTGGAGGAAAGGTCTATGCAGCCGGAGGTTGTGACTCCTGGAATTGCCTGAACTCAGTTGAAGTTTATGATCCAGTACTGGATACATGGCGTTTTGTTGCCCCAATGACAACACCTAGGCGGGGATGTGGAGCTGAAGTATTCAAAGGTAAATTGCAAACTTTTTTTTTTCCTTTTTATTGAACCGCATCCTCCTATTACTTTCTCTCTCTCTCTCTCTCCTCTCCCATGACTACATGCAGGGCCAATGTTGGTGTTGCTGTTGTCAATGACAAGCTGTATGCCGTTGGAGGTTTCTCTGGTAAGGCTGCGTGATGTAACAGTTTCTATTCTTATGAGGTTCTTTACTGAAAATGAGTAACTGACAGTTATAGGTTTGATCACAAGCATGTCCTTGTTTTTAATTAGTCTATTCTTATTTTTTGCAGGGAAGAATTTCCTCAATAGTACAGAGTACTTGGATCCTGAGACAAATGAATGGACCAACTTCACTCCCAAGCCTGAGTTTCTCAAGGAAGGCAATCTCTCTCTAGACGATCAAAAAGGGAGCAGCCGCAGTTTGAAAGAAAATGGTCATAATGGTATTCACGAAAAAGCGGAATTTGCCTGAACTCAGTTGAAGTTTATGATCCAGTACTGGATACATGGCGTTTTGTTGCCCCAATGACAACACCTAGGCGGGGATGTGGAGCTGAAGTATTCAAAGGTAAATTGCAAACTTTTTTCTCTCTCTCTCTCTCTCTCTCTCTCTCTCTCTCTCTCTCTCTCTCTCTCTCTCATTACCTTATTTATAGCGTTTGGGATGTACACAGCAGCATAATGCAGAAGCATTGTACTCATAGATATTTAGATATTTATTAAAATTGTTTTTGCTTGCAGGGAAATTGTATGTGATTGGCGGCTCTGATGGGACCCAGAGTCTTTGTTCAACAGAGATATATGATCCAGAGACAAATACATGGATGCCTGGACCGCCCATGACTACATGCAGGGCCAATGTTGGTGTTGCTGTTGTCAATGACAAGCTGTATGCCGTTGGAGGTTTCTCTGGTAAGGCTGCGTGAAGTAACAGTTTCTATTCTTATGAGGTTCTTTACTGAAAATGAGTAACTGACAGTTATAGGTTTGATCACAAGCATGTCCTTGTTTTTAATTAGTCTATTCTTATTTTTTGCAGGGAAGAATTTCCTCAATAGTACAGAGTACTTGGATCCTGAGACAAATGAATGGACCAACTTCACTCCCAAGCCTGAGTTTCTCAAGGAAGGCAATCTCTCTCTAGACGATCAAAAAGGGAGCAGCCGCAGTTTGAAAGAAAATGGTCATAATGGTATTCACGAAAAAGCGGAATTTGCTGAAATCAGCAAAATCAATCACAAAGAACATGACAAAGTCTTCGAAAATGGGGTTGTTAATGGGCACAGTGATAAGGATAGTAATGGTATTGCTGTTGGAGATAAGCAAGTGACTAATGGGCATTAGGAAGATAAGGATAGTGAGGGGAGAAAATCTTTCAATTCTGATTGGGAAGGCACAGTGACTTTTCTATTCCAGAGTTGTATTACAGCTTTTGAATCCTGTCACCCATTTATTTTCACAACTGGTGACTTTCTCACAAAATAGTTACTAGGCGGTTTCACATCACTGTACCCAAAGGAAAACCTCCTTTTCTGAAGTTTCGTGCCTTCTCACCTCAGCTACGAGGCAACACTCAGCTTGCTGAACATCTCACGGAAGTCTAAAAGACAATTTCTTGTTTATGCGTGAGATTGGTTAAATTTCATACAGTTACTTTACACTTATATTACTCCTTAGTTGGGAGTGTAGATATTTGCCTATGGTAATGGAGAATTTGTAATATATACATATATACTGGAATAATGATATGAAAGGTTTTATGTTTGAATATAATGGCTGTGGACAAACCTTTGTTGAATATTGTCATGTTATCATGAATTTCTTTAAGATCTTTTATTGTGTATCTTTCTCTTCTAAGTTTAGGAGGAGTTTTTCTTACAAATTTTTGAAAGTCAATTTTATCTTTATATATTTTCTTGATGGTTCAAGGGATCAATTATTATAAATAAGAAGTTTGCTTTTCGTTCTAGTATGAGCAATTTAATATTCCTGACATTTTTGATATACGAAAAATAGCAAGTGCCAAAATGGAATTATGAGCGACTTTCACTTCTAGATTCAGCGCACTGTGTTTTCTTACGGCCAAATGGCAAAACATTTTCAATTACAGAGGGAAATTGTTGTTTTACTTTGCATTGGAAGTGACCTTTTAATAATGAAACTGTGTTTTGTAGTTTGGATTAGGAAAAGAATGTGTGCAGAAACGTGCGATACGCATTATGCTCACAAATATCTTTTGAATTATTAACATTTCTAGTAACAACAAGGGAAGGTGGGAAAAGTGTGCTCTCATTTTAGAGACATCAAGCATTGAATCCTGATTTCGCTTTATGATGAAATGTGGCTTGACTTCTACGAAGTAATTTTCAGTTCCTGTTTTAGCAAAAGGGTCAGACCTGGCTCTGTTTTCTGTAGACTCAGAACTTAAGTGATTGAAATCAAATATCCTGCACCACAAATGCATTTTCTCCCTAAAACAGAGAAAACAGATATAAAGTGCAAGACTGACGCATATCACACAGGTTTCAGTTTCCAGTATCAATATGCGCCTGTCAGATCCTTCTCCGTCCAACTATTCCTGCTTATACTTTTATATGTAAATCTTATTGCTCCTCTATTCTTGTGGGTTGCTCATTGATGAAGTTTCTGCACAGTGTATTTAAACATTCATTAAAGCAAATTGTTCAGCGTTAAATTTAAAGGCATTACTCATCTCAGTTAGTACATTACATGGTATCATACTGTGCTTGATCCATAAGTGGGTCGATGGATGGATTTGCACATGCATCATGCCCGCAGATGTCTGAGTATACATACGAGTCACGGAATGTTTAGTTTGTGGCCAAAGGTACAAAGATATATATATATATATCCCTGCTTTGTTAAACGTAATATCTTGGATCTTCAAGATATTACAAATAGCATCAGCATCATTAACATCATTATCAGATGCAAGATTGTGACTGCTGAGCCTTTTTAACCTAAGGAACAGGTTGTACCTACACAAGGCACTAGATGAGGTGAGTAGTCTTTCACAAATTTGAATCCTCATCATGGACTTGTGAGTGGGATCTTTAAGTTGAGAAAGAACAACCCTCTTCTCAGCTTTTGATACCCATTCCTCCAAATGCTCTTTTCGTGGCTTCCTCGACAGATTAGCATAATAAGTCCTGGTGACATTGTAACGCTTTTCTCGATAATCCACCAGAAACGCTCCTACATTCTAAAAAGATAAGATCGCCACTGCAAAGATTCCTCGTTTGGTCTTCTTTAAAGCTGGAGATTTAGAATGTTTTAATGTTTCAAATGCTCTTTCATTTCTGTATCCCAAGTGTTGAATCTGCTTCTCGGATCGAAGGAGCTTTGGGATCCAATGAGCTGATGTCGTATTTGTTGGATATCATTATGTAAATGCCTTCTTGAAAGAGACTCATCTCTATGGCATTGAATGTGGGTTACCTCACTTATATTCAGCAGCGCTTGTACCTTCGGCCACGAACTTGGTATATGTAGGTTTGTATGTGTGTATATACATGTATATATGTATGTGTGTATATACATATATATTTGATATACATATTAAAATTCATATACATTTATAAACATCATATTGCAATTACTTTATTGAATATAAATGTTTGCAAATGCATCTGGTAGTATGAAATCACTTTTACTGATGCTCTACCGTATAAAATACAAGTGAATTTATGATTTGGAATTTTCCTCATGAGTTTCTTAAGAATATAATTTGTTTATTTCAAGATCATGTTGACATTTTTTTTCTTGTACACACAAGCAAGTAGAGTAGTCATAGTTCATGCATAGATATTTATTGATGGTATTACAATTAGTGCATAATATGATAATTTAGGGTTCTTTATATATATATATATATATATATATATATATATATATATATATATATATATATATATATATATGTATGTGTATGTCTATATATGTATATGTATATACATACATACATGTGTGTATGTATATGTATATATATATATATATATATATATATATATATATATATATATATATATATATATATATATATATATATATATATGAGTATGTATGCATGTATATATATGTATATGTGTGTATATATATATATGTATATATATATATGTGTGTGTATATATATACCAATAATTATTACCTGAGCTTAATGATATAAGCTGCAAATATTAGGAATCTGTATTTTTCCAGGGGACCTGGGAATGTTCTTATACCATTTGCTTCATTTTTCTATATAGTAAGAGAAAAGTGATACATATGGACATATATATTTTTTGAATTAGTGTTCAGTGGTGATTCATATCACTGATCACAAGGATTTGATTTTAATGTGAATTTATAATCTACATAAACTTGCACTGAAGTTTAGTTTTCAAGGAAATACAAATGGGTGATTTGTTCCACATTAACGTTTGAATGTAAATTTCTGCCAGCTTTGATTATCACAAAAGCAAAGGAAAAAGTACAATGATCTAATAATTTCATGAATGGCAATCCTCAAACATCTGCAGTAAGGTCTTCAATCGATTTTTTTTTATTCATATGAATAACATCTGTTGTTTTATCATTTTCTTGGTTCTTGCCATGGATAAATAACCTAATTGTTTCATCTGCTATTGATTTATAAGATAGCATATACATTACATTTAACTATGAGCAAATGTGCAGCACATCATTAGAAAAACTGCTGTTCATCATATCCATTTCATAACGAGCTTTGCTGCGATAATAACCACATTTGCTCAATATATGGGAGACTACAGTAGTTATCTTGGAAATATCATATTGAAATTGTCATGTATAACAATTTTGGAATAATGTAGAATTCCCTAATTATAATGATGAGAAGCAATGCTGCAGAAAGAAAATATAAAGTGTACTAAAAACATGTCTTATTGTATGATATATTAGTTTATACTATTGTCCTCTCCCATTTTTTAAAAAAGTATGTGTACTGTGACACATCAGCATTCAGTGTGGTTGTCGGGACCTTTGGCTGAATCATTTAATGATAATTATTCTCACATATTCTATCTATAAAAACCCTGTTAAGTGTGGTATTGTTTACTGTAACAGGTATGTTTGAAAGGAATATATATTGTACAAATCAGTGCATTTTGTGGTAGAAAAAAAGAAGCATGACAGCATTGTTTATGGACACATATCTTAAATACTGTTTTAAACTCTGTTCCATGCTAAACATGCTCCTCTGTGTAAGCCAAGATGCTTTTAGGACATTATATGGAAACAAATAGTTATCAAGCTTGCTTCACCGTACTCTGAACACCAAACTGATGCTATAAAGAGTGCCATCATATTACCCATACACCTGAGTCGAAGAGCTGTAAGATTACAAGATACAGGAAAGCATAAGAGAAGGAGAATTAGAGACAAGACTTGAATTCATGTTTGTAGTTTCCATAGAATTTGAGAAGTTGCATGTTACTTGATGCTTAAACTACCATATACCTCACTTTATATTATTATACAGTATAATACCAGAGAGGAAACTTTAACAATATAACATTTGCCCATCCTGTTACTCAGAAATTGGGAATGGAGAGATTAGTAATTGCTGTGATAGAAGCAAATTGTCTATAATTTTCAGCGCAAACAGAAGGTGACATTACACAGCAGTTTTAATGCAGTTTATAAACCAAATATGACTGGCTATTTTTCCAACTGCTGATGAAAATTTTCTTACTTTCACAATCTCTAGCAATCTCTTTATCCAACAGAAAAGTGTGTTATCATCTTTCTATGTCAGTATTTTGAACAGTTTCTATGCAAAAAGACAAAATCAGAAAAAAATAATCAGCAGATGAGTAGATAGCCAGGGCATATTTTCATGTCACCATTGTTAAAATTTGGGATATGCTGGTCACCCAAAGAACTATATTTTGTATTATATAAAACCACTGAGATGCAATTATGGTACTGTGTACTTGTGTCAAAAAATTATAACAAATGCTTAATTTTATCATCCTGATTATATGGTATACACCAGTGTGCATAATACTGGAATAATTACAACATATACTACAGGAAACTTCGTTTTATTACCCGATCTTCCAAGATGTGCTATATCTTTATGCTCATTATGGTTAGTGTAAACATGAAACATTATGCTTATTATGATTGGTATATGAATAAAAGTATACGAATATACTGACTAATGAGCTTAAAAATAGGTATATTTTTAATCACTGTAATAAAGACAAGAACCGTTCTATTTATTCTCATTCGAACCCAAAATTACAAAATACTCTCATTCTAGATTACGCAAAACGCTGACGCAGTAAATTTTATTCAAAACTATACAAAACGATGGGATTGTTGGCTACACAAATTAATTATTAATCCAGAAAACTGAAGTACGGAGTATGAAGTCTCACTGAATGTAAATATATATCAGACCATGGAAGTAAACGCTCTTTTTCCAAGTAATATCCATCGGTCTATCTATGCGTCTAATAACAGAAGGTGACCATAATAATTCACAATCAAATCACACTTTTCATATCTGGGAAGTAATGCCTACACGATGACACTGGCTGCAAGTAAGAGGAATACACAAATAATCCTGAGACCAATGCTTGATAGTAAACTGTCACTGATCTGTCCTATTTATTAACAGCATATTAGTCGACTGCTATTTTTTGATCATGTGAATTGACAATAATGCAACATCTAAATATAGATAACACTCAAAACTGTGTGTTAATTCTAAGTTACAGAATCTGTAGTTTTGTAGACCTATATTTGCGAACATCACTGTGGGCAACTTAACCCATGAAGAGCCCTAATAAACTCACAGCATAGAGGACGGGGACAAATTAACTTACGCGAACAGTGAACTCGAAAGTGTGTGCTACATATATCTTTTTGTGCACAGACTGGAAAATGCGTTTTAACTTCACCGTGAGTTATGCGTTTAATATTTTGCTTGATTAATAAGAAATGGGGCAACAAGAAGCTGCAGCACAACGTACAGCCAAGATAAAAATTCAAAATCACCAAAAACTTCTCGCCATCATTTCAACTTATGTTCAAATGCGTGTGAGTGTGTGTAAGATATATATATATATATATATATATATATATATATATAGAGAGAGAGAGAGAGAGAGAGAGAGAGAGAGAGAGAGAGAGAGAGAGAGAGAGAGAGAGAGAGAGAAAGAGAGAGAGAGAGACAGACAGACAGACAGACAGACAGAGACAGAGACAGAGAGAGTGAAAGTGGACGTGCGTGTACGTGTATATAAATCCTTAAAAAGGGAACCCCATAACGAAAGCGATCTGAAAAGCATGGTATTCTAGTCTCAGGACAGAAAACCTTGGTTCAGTTCACTTCGGTTCAGTGAGATTCTAGGAGGCTAGCTTTGTCCGGACTGTACACATATGTGGCCCGGCCTGTTTCAGCTATTTAGAGCTCCAGCCTCCACGGTGTAAGCAACAACTATAATCTGACCAACCAGGTGGCTGTAGTAGTTGGGCCTTGTCTTAAAAGTCATATGTTCGCACCTGTATGGATAGTGTAACACGGTGCCACAAGGCTCGCAAAAGTGCTTGCACCACTTGTCAGCGTGGTCAGTGGTGTCAATAATATGCTACGTGCAGTTGTATCTTACTTTGGGTTTGGCAACACATTGGTATGATACCCTTGATCATACAAGATGCTCATTAATGCCCCACTGTAGAATACATAGATGGTGTACCGTGATGTAATTCTGAATCAATGACATTTGCGTCGTTTGTGCAGTCAATGTCTTATGGTTTAGCATCATATGTTCTAGTGATAGTGGCATCAGACATGTCGGAGTCTGACATAGTCTGGCAGTTCCATGTTAAAGTCCTCGCTAGTTAGGGGCTCATCAATGAGAGGCTAACTATGTTGGAGTTCTGGCTTTACTTTTTTCGTAACTGTACTTTTTGGTTGAGGGTATGGCCTCTGCTGGATCTGCCTGAGGAGTCTCAGCCTGTTTTGGCTCTGCCCGCATGGGCTCGGCCTGCATTTCTCCGCAAGGGTAAAAGAGGCCTGATTTACCCCTGCCTGTGAGGGTTAGGCCAGTATTGGAGCAGGAAGGGGAGTCTCGCCCTAAAGTGGAGTGAGCTGGTTTGGCTGGATCCTACTTCCTCTCCTTCAGGGCTGCGACAGTCTGGATCATTGCAGTTATGGCGACCCTGACTGCCTTCTCTGCCTCCACGCACGTCCTCCCCAAAGCTGTTGCTACTGCAATGCTTACTGCAGTCAGCAGGAGCATCACACCCTTCTTGTCAAAGGGAAGGGAAGAGGCTAGAAATACGATCACCACCTTCCTTGTGTGCCTAGAAACATGTCTTAGTTCTGTGTGCCTTGCTACAGACGCCACACTTGGACTTGGTCTTGCAGCTAGCCTGGTAATGACCGTATTGTGGTTCAAGCACATAAGTTGTAAGGCTGCAAGAGAACTTGCCTGGTTAGTGTCTTCCCTTTTGTCAAGCAGTAAGCCCCCGCAACCTGGGAGTGTGATCATCTCCACATCACAAGCTATTGGAAAACCAAGAAGAGCTACTTAAGTATCCTGTCTTTGGGAATGAGTGGCGAGATATATTCCACCATCATTGAACTCCTTAATTTCTTACAGGAAATCGAGGGTGGCATGGTCTTTAGAAACAATAATCATGGCTCTATTTCTGAAAATAATCAGATTTGCCTCTGTATTTCCAATGCTTTGACCAGTTGGTAGCTGTTAGGGGATTCAGACTCTCCATCAGAGTCGGTTTCTGACCTAGATCAGTTTGAACTACCACCCCTCCCCCCGTCAAGTTTTAGTCAAAGTAGACGCCTGGAAGAAGACCAAATGTTAACCTGATTTGGATTCAGGCCTGTAGGTTTGGCACCACCGCAGAAAATATATTTGGCACCTTGCGTGTTACAGCTCTGGAGCGCTCACAAGGTAGATTGATATCAGAGGTTCAGGTATAATATCACCGGTAAAACGCGTGGGAAAAGATGACATATGTATTTCCACCTGTATGTGAGAGAGAGAGAGAGAGAGGGAGAGAGAGAAAGAGAAAGAGAGAGAGAGTATACGTAAAAGTATGAGAACTTTCTTAATTATTCTGACAAACTTTGCCTTTCTTTGCTGAAATAAGATGTAAGAAAACAGCACAAACTATGTGTGTGTTCCTTTCTTTCTTTGTTTCTTTGTATACCAATGGTTATACAAATACCAGACTGAATCCTAAATACTAGTGACAGTGGAAAGTCCTTCATTTAGGTAATTAACAGCATTTTTGTTTTCTAACCCTTCTATGGTTCTGTTAAATCTGATGAGTGTTACATGTTAGTAAATATTAGTATTTTCATTTCGTTATGTGTATTGCAGTGAGTCTAGCACAGAGAGTCGATGGTTCCAGAAGATTGGTTAAGATACCTATCTGACGGAAATATTCACACTGTGGATTTATTTCAATCAGCTGGATGTACTGTATGTTTGTGTGCGTGTGTCGTCGTATGGGTATGTGCATAATATCAAATAAATAACAGCAATGGAATGTATCAATAACAGTATCATTA